TTTGTGACGTTCAGCGTGTAGGGACGCACGTGCGCCTAGAATGTCGATGCCAGAGTTATAACCTTTGATGTCCCGAGATGTGCGTCCTTTTGTTAAATTACCTTGGTAAAACCTTGAATCTTATGAGATGAACGCCCATCTCGAGTTGAAAGCCCCCTTCTAGCGCTTTAGTTTGCCAAATTAGCTTCGATAAAAAGCCCATGGGCTTCTTTTTCAAAATAGATACTCTTCTTTAGATAGTACACTGAATTTCAGAAAGCATTTCATTGATACATAGACAATTATTTTTCCACGGTATAATAGTGTACTGTACAAAAAATGAATGATTAAAATTTGTATATATTTTCAAAAATCCAACAAAAGGAGAGAAAACCATTTTAAAGATTGTAATAATAATAATACTAATGCTTCTCTTTGCGTTGCTTTTAAAAATAAACTACATAGTTTGCCGAGTCAGCTATATTATCCATTTAAATGAATTTCATAAGTTTTTGAAAAACAAATTCATTATATTTATTTGTTTTCCTGTTTAACTTATATGACAGTTATTATAAATCACTGTTTTTGCGAGGTGTTTTGTACGGTTTTAGGCGGTAGATTTTTTAGAATAGAACAACAAATACGAAAACCACTCCATGTTTAACTCTAAAGCCCTGTCCAACTATCAAATTTTATTTGACAAAAACATGTGACATGCCTAAATATGGTCATGATGACATCACATCATGACCATGTAGGCACATCATAATGGTCACATTTGTTATCAATGAAAAAAAGTCTCCAATTTTACTCTTTTTCCATTTAACTATTTAATATAGACTTAGGCATATAGTATATTTATTTTTTGTATTTCCTTTTGAATGCCAACTTTTCTTCCAAGCAAGGACAGGCTCCTGTTCATTTTATTATGGACCAATAAGTCTTGAATCTTATTGCTTAAGGCTAGACCGATTGATTGGGTAATCCCAAAGGGGACGCCCCTTAAATATGACGTCACATCTTCTAGTCTTGTACAACATATATCATTAATAATAAAATATTTATATAATAATTAGGTTGCTGCAGGTACAAACATGATATAAACAAATAAAATATGTATATTATGTTTAATTAGTATATATTTTATATAGATAAATTTTGTAAATCTGCCAGATTTTATACCACAATATAGAAAATTTACATTTATTTAAAGAGAGAAGTTGCGATTACGCATCACTCAGTACATTCTTGGAATTCCGAGCCTGAGTGTAGCTTTGATTCTTTAGATATACGTAAGTATTCATTTTGACTTATCGCAATAACCTTTAAGAAGCAGCTTTCGGACACTAATGTTAAGCGATATGACTTATTTTTAGGTAGAGCCGTTGTCCTAAAGAGCATTTCGCGCGGCTGACGGTACGATTAAGTAGCCAGCCTAACTAAATATCGGATCGGTTGTCAACAAATGCTAGGCTATTTGACTACCGGAAGTCGTCCATCCGCTCCTGGTGGTGGTGGTCTGTTTAGTCTGTCGCTTATCGTCACTGTATACACTGTAGTACCATAGTGCCTGGCTTGTTGGCACACCAGCCGGATTCAGAAACATCATGAGTGTGATAGGGTGTGACATTATTTCAGTTTGAAATAAATAGTGTTTTTCATGCTATGTTGTCGACAAAATTTGTTTTTTATAAAGTGAAATAAAATGTAAATCAAATGAAGAGGAAGGCTAAATAAAATTATAAATAAGCTAGGCTAGGTTAGAGGGCTAATATGCAACTTTAGTTTAAGACTAGTGTAGTACTAGCTAGAAGATTACTAGTACCACAGGACTGTACAGAGATCAATTACAGACGATTGGGCCCAGGACGATCAAGCCCATTTTCAGGATATTGTCAAGAACTTCAAAGTGGGCCCGATAGTCCTGGGCCTGATCGTCTGTTACCCATACAGAGCCTGCATGGGGAATTACTGTAGTAATATCCACTTCCAACAAATTTAGCAGAAATTAAGCCTTGTGATATGTCAATCATAATTCTAGTTACATTTTTGCACATTATTTTCTTGTGAATTTTACATCAACGTTCTGCAAACTACTGTACTGTATGGGCCGCGAAACATTTTTGGAGGGCCGCAAAGCCGTCTGGAAATTGAAAAAAAATAACAAAGAGACGTATCATCATGGAGGAAATAGTTTTTAATAAAGCTGCTTCATTGTTACAACGAATGCGTCGCATGCACATGCTGCTAAGTGCCAGATGATGCATGCTATTTGAGTTATAAGCGGTTTTTGTGTCTATGCCCTCTCGGGAGCTAGACACTATGTTATCGTCTAGTATTTAACCCTGTAAGATCGAGTAAATTCGGTATGGAGGAATGATGAGATGAGTCATGAGCTAAAGATAAAAGTAAATATAAGACCTGTCCAAACAACACCACACTTGATAACCGAATGCCCATGTGGATACTTTAGTACCTGTCTCTTATACACATCTAGATGTGTATAAGAGACAGCAGCTATATTATCCATTTAAATGAATTTCATAAGTTTTTGAAAAACAAATTCATTATATTTATTTGTTTTCCTGTTTAACTTATATGACAGTTATTATAAATCACTGTTTTTGCGAGGTGTTTTGTACGGTTTTAGGCGGTAGATTTTTTAGAATAGAACAACAAATACGAAAACCACTCCATGTTTAACTCTAAAGCCCTGTCCAACTATCAAATTTTATTTGACAAAAACATGTGACATGCCTAAATATGGTCATG